CTGATGGCCCCCCCCCCCCAAGGATGTCCACAACATAATCCCCGGGCCTGTGAACATGTCCCCTTATATTTTACAAAAGGGGCTTTAGAGATCAAGTCAAGGCTCTTGAGATAGGAGATTATCCTGGATTATGAAGGTGAGCCTGATGTAATCATAAGAGTCTTTACAAGTGGAAAGGGGACACAGAAGAGAGGACTGCAGAAGAGTGGCCAGAAAAAAAATGCAACAGAGCTGCTTTCAGGATGGCAGAAGGGGTCTGTAAGCCAAAAAAAGGTGGGCGGCCTCTAGCAGCTAGAAAAGGCAAGGCAATGGACTGTCCCCTAGAGCCTCCCCAAAGGTATGTGCCCCCGCTGACACCTCAATTCTAGCCCAGTGAGACCCATGTTGGATTCTCACCTGCAGAGCTGGAAGATAGAGGTGAGTGTTGCTTTACACCTCTAAACCTGCGGTAATTTGTTGCAGCAGCAACAGGACACTAACACAGTAACTTTGCAGGACGCTGTGGGTCCCCACAGATGGAGAATGGACACTCTTATGCCTTCTGGGTAGGGACTACTGCTCTCCTCTTGGTACAGGAAGGACAATGGCAGATGCAGGACCCAGTTATCAGCAGTGGGTAGCTGAACTCTGCTCTGGGAACTCTCCCAAATGGTCAGCAAGCTCTGCTTTTAGAGAGTGTTCTGGTTTGGAACAGAGCGATTGTGGCTTGTACAGGTCTGTGCCTTTCATGGGTATTTGTTTCCTGTCCTCAGAGACCATATAAACAATAGGGCAATTAACCGGATAGCAATTAACCCTGGGGGAGTCCATGCAGAACTGAGAAACGTGTTCTGCCTTCCTAGAAAGAGTCAAGGTTGGCAGCCGAGGTGGACCAGCCCCACCTGTCTGCCTTGCCTTCGACAGAGTAAGAGGCACATGCTGTCTCCTCCCACAGCTCTGGCCCTTTCCCAGGTTCCTGAAGGGCCGGTGTGTTCTGATTTCTTCATCTCTCTCTCTCTTTTCATAGAAATATGCCTTTCCTGAGCAGTCTTTCAGTTCAGCACCCACAGAACTGTCAGGGTTTCTCTGAGAGGAGAAAGGCAGTTGGCACAGCTGATAGCTTTGTCCCTGGTCTACCTCTAGAGGACACGGGACCGCTCTGCTAAGCACCAGGGCTTGGGGACGGTGCTGATACCCCGGGACTCAGGTCAGCTCAAAGTCAAGTCCCTAATCTACTTCTCAGCAGTGTCACAAGAGTCTTGATGTGGCACATCCGCTCTCAACTCATCAGCCCCCCTGCATTAGGGATCATGTGCTTCAGAACCCATGGAAAACACTCAATTGAACGGCCTGCCAGTCAGCCTGGCCCCACCTCCCTCCAAGAGCCACGTGGACCAGCGACTTCAAAGTATTATGCTAATCCCAAGCCCTGGCATAATTGGGTGACTTTCTGCAGTGGCTCCAATTGTTATTGCAAATGCATATTCATCAGAACTATTCCTGCTGGCTCTGTCTCACAGATCACAGTGCTAAAAGTACAAGAATACATCAGCACAGCTCTATGCCAAGTAAAAGGGGCTAGGATCACCAACAGAAGGCTTTTGACAGGCAAACCCTCAGGGTCTCAGGGAAGGGGCAGAGCAGTGGGAAGAGATGGAGAGTCTATCAGTGTGCATGTGTGTGAGTGCGTGAGCCTGCTCACACTCAGATGGGGCCGGCCTGGGGGTGGGGGTGTGAAGGATGTTCACACATGTGGACAGTGTTTTAGTACTTAGAATGACCCAAGAGAATAATGTAAAATGATAGGTTGAAATCTGGGTGAGACATGCAAGCTGAACAGTGGAAAAAATAAATGAAAGTGTCTCAGCTGGGACTCCATTAGACACTGAAATTGTCTCCTGAGGGACCCGGTTGGGAAGCTCATTGCCTGAGACATCTGAAAGTGGACTAGCCACAGGGAGGGAGCATGAACTGACCTCCTGGCTGCCTTTGGAAGACTTGCCCAAAGAGCATTTTTCTTTGTATTTCTCCTGACAGTCCACTCTCTGAACTTTCCCCTCCCTTTGATGGATCTGCCAGGTTCTCTGCATACCCACCCCTTAGCTTGCTTTCTTTCCCTTTCCTTCTCTTCATTCTCTCTCCCCCCTCAGATGAATCAGGCTCCTGTCAACTGCTGCTAATCTGTGAAAGTCTGGGAGGCTTCAGGGCCGAGGGAGCCCCGCCAGGATTCCAGGTACACATCCATCCTTGGTGGAGAATGGCTCTTTGAACAGAGCAGGTGCTCAGAGATGGGGAAGACGAGCGGGTGAACACTGAAATCGGCCCGGCATCCTCACAGCTTGCTCCTGCTCGGGCCCCTGACAAGAGCACAACTGTGCTCCCCAGAGCTGGAGCTCCTGGCCCTGCTCTGGAAACACCGCAGAGCTACGTGCCCCAATGGATCACATTCCTCTCCTCATGCCAACTCCATGCCTGGCTTTCCTGCGCCCCTCTCCGCCCCATGCCCTCTCCTCTCTGTGAGGACTGCATCATTCTGCCCTTAGAAGAAGAAAGAGCTGGAAACAGACAGTGGTGTCAATGGGCATGAAAATGACAATATAAAGGCACCAGCAGCTAATGGCTCCACCTGCTCCTGCCTCAATTTACCTGCGGGGTTCAATCGGTCTTCACACCCATGGCACGGGAGATGCCTCAGTCCACTCTAGCCCAAAGAGTCATCCTAGTTCATAGCATCACACATTTTACGCAGAGCCAAAGTCTACACTGATGAGAAGTAGGTAGAAACCACCTTTGGTGAGGTAGGAGTTCAAATGCACACATTTTAATTTTTTCTCTGCCATTCTTGGTGTACTTTACCTAGGTAGGTTTCTCCTAAAATTTCCTATTACAATCAGTGTAATTTGACTCTAGACAATCAATGTAATTTGACTCTAGGTGTTTCTCCCCCCCACCCCTAGAATTTCCTATTAGAGTAAATACAGTCTATTTCCTATTAGAATCAGCATCCTATTATTAAGCAGTTAATTAGTTCTCAAATTGCTGGGGGTATCCCTCACCAACTAGACTGCAAGACTGGAAAGAGAGAATCATGGTATATAATTCACGCAATTTCCCTTGGATGGCTACAGGTCCCCTAGCAGGTGGCCCACAAATACTTCTTGACTTACTGACTGGTGTTTGACGTCTCTATCGAGAGACAATTCATAATTTAGACGAGATGGCGGCTACAGCGAGGGAGGACCATTCTCGGCCCTCTCTTATACGCACGGTATAGTCTTATCTATACATCTACATTGGGTCTCATCCCATCCCCTGCCCCCGCTGCAAGCCCGGCAGACCCGCACACCTACCACGCAGCCGCTGGAGTCCAGCTTGCGATCCGAGACGCAGCGGAAGTTCTTGCTGCAGCCCCCGTTGCCCCGGCTGCAGTCCCGCACAGGCCCGAAGGAGTCCAGGAGAACTTCCAGGCTGTCAAAGGACGACGAGGTCATCAGCTCCTCCCTGCGGAGAGGACACAGGGACAGGGGAGGGGTCAAGGCCTCCAGGTGCAGGGAGGAGCATTAGGTCCCTCGTTCCTCCCTGGTGAACCAGGTCACGTCTCACTCCCTCTTGCAAAAATTCAAGATCGACCACGCTCCGACCCCTGCACCGACGAGTTACAGACATTCTATGTGCCTGGGAGCCGCCTGGCCAGGGGAGGTCTCAGCCTGGGCGGGGAGGTGAACATCTGTCTGCCCGACAGTCCTTGGGCCCGTGGGGCATACTGTCCCCTTGCCTGGGCCGGGGGTGTCAACGCTGACCCAGGCGAGGAGAGGCGCCCCCCACAGGGAATCTGAAGGCAGCCCGCCTTGCGCTCCCTCCAGCCTGTCAGGATTCCTCTTCCCAGTGCCTCGGCCTGCAGGGAGCTTCTCCCTGTGCCTCTCAAGCCATGTGCGGGCCTCGGCGCCCGGAGGCGGGACTCACCTGACCTCCACGGCGTCCTCCATCACTGTCATGTCCGTCTTACACTTCGCTGAGGGGTTGATGGCCAGTTCAGCTGGCGGGATCACGAAGCTCTTGCTGAGGGGCAGCCACATGCCCTCGCCAAGGGTGTAGGTGAATCTGCAGGGACATCCAACGCCAGGTGGTTAGTACAGGGCAGCCACCGCCCCACGGGAGGACCTGGCATCCATCGCCAGCTGCTCCCCTCTCAGCCTCCGCGTCCCCACAGAAAGGAGAGCCGAGCGCCACTTTGTGGATGCGATGACTGAGTCTCAGGGAGCCACACAGCCTATTCCTGCTCACATGTCTGGACAGCTGGCGAACTGATCGTGGTACCCACTCACCAGCTGTTGGAAGTGTTTTTTTATCAAGTCATACAAAAGCGAGTTCCAGTTTCCTTCAGATCTGAAGCTGGGCTTCCCTTACCCTCAAGTCAGATATAATTGGAAGCATTTTAATTGAACAGACAGGCCGACCTCCCACCACCTCCATCCCTTGGTTTGTGCACGCACAGGGGTAGTGACGGGGTCTCTCTGCACCTCGTGGAACCCTACCCAGGAAAAGGAAGGGGGACAGTTCACCTTCTCTGGCTTCTGTGTGATGGAACAGAAATTCTGAAGCCAGGAGCCAGGGAGGAGAGAAGGGAGACGAAGGAGACAGGCCCAAAGGAGACGAAGGGTGTGGGGAGGAGTGAGAGTGTCCTCACTCCTCCCCACACCCTCAGCTAATGGCCTCAGCGCAGGGGAGACAGGGAAGAGTTGGCTATTTTTTTTAAAAATTCTCATCACAAGGGCTAAAAGAAATAAAAGAATCAATCAGCATTTCAAGGGAGAGCTTAGAGAGACCATGAGTGATTTTGTTTATTTATTCATTTATTTTATTTCAAAGGCATTCAAATGCTCTGTGTTCACAGTCAAAAATAGTCTATGGGATAAAAGTCAGTGTGGGTGGGACATCACAAGGCGGTGGCAGTCTGGTGTCGCCTTCCAACTGAAAGTGGAGGGAGGAACAATGAAGGGTGCATACGAGTAAACAGGACCCAGTGCAAGCTTGGTCAGCGCGCTGGCCACAGAGGACCCCAGAATCCCGCTCCTTCCTCTCCCCCAACCCACCCGCTCGCCTCCCCTCTCCCAGGGCTGCCTGAGAAGCTAGGAAACCAGATGGGTGATGTGAGGTGTTTTATGAGACGTGTAGTCCTCCCTAGAATGCCGGCCATAGAGAGTACCCCCTAACTGAGTCTCAGGAGTTACAAGCAGCTGTGTGACTTCACCCAGTTCCCGAGTGACAGAACCAGGCACAAGAGCGACTATGAGGAGAGGAAACAGGTACCCCGGGGAGAGGCAAAACCACTGAGTGGGAGGTGGCCAGGATTCGGGAGCTTTTCTCCCAATTCCCACCCTTACTCTTGGTCCCCTATACTGTGACCTGCTAGGCAAACACCTGCATTAAACAGCACGGAAATGTCAGAGGGGCTTCTTGATCTGAAGGAGGCACTCAACCCTCCCTATCCACAGGGACATGAGTCAAGAGCTCAGCTAGGTCTGTGCAGGGAAGGGCCTGCATCAGGCGAGGGAGGCCTGCAGCTAGGGGGACAGGGGTGGAGACTCCCCACTTCTCCCTTCTGAAAGGAGCTGGTAACACTGAAGGCATGACAGCCCCTTTACACACACGCACGCACACACACACACACACACACACATCACCAGCAAGATTAAGGAGCCCATATTCAGGGCAAGTGATTGTCCCAAGGTGCCTGGAATCTGGGACTTAAGGATAAATGTGGGCTGGAGGCAACAACATGCAAGTTTTTGCATTTTCTGTGCATTTTGTAACGAACATTCTTGAGAGCAACATCATAATAGGCCCCGCTGATGTTACGTAGCGTGCATTGTTTCAGAGAGAGAGTGTACACATTTGAATGGTGCCGGG